TGCTTCCCTTAATTATTTACTTCTAAGGCATACCCCCTTGGAAATTAAAGATTCCCCCCGGGATAGAAGGTCTAAAACAAACGATGGATGCAGGGGCGTATATAGACTTAATTTTAGAGGAGGGGGGGGCGAGTCAAATTTTTCTTTAATTCAGGCTCAAAATTAAAGTAAAATGTTTGGTAATATTTAATTCAGGTGAATCCTTAATATTTATGGCTTTTTTTTTTAATCTTATGCCGGATCCACTTAGAATCGACTTTTGTGTAGTTCTTTTTTAATATTTGTGTTTAGAAAGTTACGCTTGTGTTTTATTTGATTTTTCACTAAGTATGGACCCAACAAAAAGCCCAATTCAGTATTCATAGCCACGCGTAATTTGATTTCGTTATAGAATGATCCACATTAAAAAAATTTGAAATATGTATCTCACATAATCAATTCCTTAAATACGAATTCAAGGAGGGTGATCACTCCTTTGCCCCCCTCCTAATATACGCCCATGAATTGATGACTATTAGATTTTATATTCACATTATGTGTTATTTTCGTGACGTTTATATTTTTTATTCTATTATTCTAATAATTTCAAAACTGGACAATATTTTTTTTTTGTCCTGGAGGAGAGGGAATTATCCCGAACCCCTCCCTCATTTATACGCCACTGCCTGCGTAAAAATATACAGTAAAATATATTATATACATTATTATTTTTATAACATATATTTTATTTTAATAAGTACAAGTACTTATACGTACCTAATAAGTACAATACAATATAGGTTGATTACAATTATATCATAATATATACCTACTTACGAATAATTAAATATACCTTCAAGAAATAAAATTGTATTGGTTATTTGAACTACGATGCAGAGAAAAAGTCAGTCTTTAGTAGGTATACAAAACTACAAAAGGCGAGGGCCGACCAATGTGTTTACACTAGTGATGGGCAAAAGTGACTAATAACTACCGACTTAGTCGGTAGTATCAAATGACTAATTTAGTTACTCGAACATTTTTATTATTCGACTAGTTATTATTATTCGACTAATTTTTATTATTCGACTAGTTATTATTATTCTTCGACTAATTTTTATTATTTGACAAGTTATTATTATTCGGCTTATTTTTATTATTCGACTTACTTTATTATTCGACTAGTTACCATTATTCAATTTAACTTTTTTTTATTATTCAACTGATTTTTATTGGACGATTGCAAACTTTAGCATGAATTACTTTAATTCAACAATATAACAAAAACAATAATAATATAACAAAAAACATAAACATAACTAGGAAAAATAAATACAAATTTACAACTGTTTTAAATTTGTAGTGTGTGCGACGTGCGCCGTGCGTGTCATTATCGTTATTTTTGTTTTGACTATGTATGACTGCTGCAGTCAACTGCGGAAACAAAACCTCACCTTTAAATAGAATTACGACTACAATTTAAATTTCTTAGAATTACCGAGTTATCAGTTATTTTAGTCGACTAATTTCATTTATTCATATTAGTTGGTTGGAAAAAAGTAGTCGAATAATTAGTCGACTAATTTTATTTATTCATATTAGTTGGTTGGAAAAAAAATAGTCGACTAATTATTCGACTAATTTCTATGATTTGTATATAGCTGGTCGTGCAAATTATTAGTCGAATAATAGTCGGTAGTACGTAATGAAAACCGAATAATAGTCGGTAGTATCAAATAGTCGTTTCTGCCCATCACTAGTTTACACACATAATCAATTTATAGTCATAATAATAAACCCAAATAATGCCATAACGATTACCACCGCCACTGTGTCAATTAGTATATACGTATATTGTATAATATGGGTTGAAAATAATCATATATTTTCGTCGAACGGTCGAACATTCAATCATTTTCGCCGATAAATTAATTTATATTTATTCACCATCAATATTATCGTCAGTTTATAATCAATATTTAATATTCACAGTTGTCTAATTAGTGAGAAAAACTCGACGATTTTTGCTTATTCTTATTTAATGGCCGCGTATTTCTCATGTGTTAAGGTACGGTTTCCAAGCTGCGGCTTGCGATCAGCCGCAACGATCAGCCGTAACGACTAAACGTTGCGTGCCGACTGGTTTCCTAAATACGACTAGACGTTGCGGCCGGAGTTCATTTTACCCTAATATTGTGTAGAGTACAGACGTGTTTTTTGGTAAATAATTTATTTATTATACTAGTTTTGTTGTTAATTGTTAGTTAGTTAACAAAGTATAGTGATGGAAGAAGTTATTGATAATATAATATCTTTATGTATTCGTGGGAGCTATCATACAATACGGATTGTTTCTCAACTTCTTCCATCAAAACTTCATCATTGTTCGACGAAAATGTAGATTTTGACATAGTTTTTAATTAAAATGCAAAAAATACAATAAAACACTATATGACACGCACACGACTCACGCAATGTACTGCTACCAGAGCACTATAGCCGCGAGCCACGACTATTTAAATCACGCAATCGTCGATCGCACGTTGGAAACCACGCTCCGCAATTTTAAATAGCACAGTCAAACTACGTGTGCCGTTGCGGCCAGCCGCAGCTTGGAAACCGTACCTTTACGCGTAATCAGTGGCGGCGTGAAATATTTTACTTCATGAGTCCTGTTAGGATTTTGCCCACCCACCCACATACCTAAAAATAAATTTAAGGGTAGCTTGTAAAAAGAGCTCCTCCACTATTCGTTCTACATGCTACATACTCACTCGATATCCAATGGTCAATACCCATCAACCTACTCACCCACTGACTTGAGTCCAGGGACTCAAAAATCTGCCGTCACGCCGCCACTGTGCGTAATGCATAATAATATAAGTTATAATTAAAAACAAGTAGCCAATAATTTTTCATCGGGCAGTTTGTCATAACGTGTTTTCGAACTGTAGCGGTCGTTTACGCAATCGACGTTTCAAGATTAGGCTCCTTCTAGAGATTTAAATTATTAAATTTCGAATTTTCCGATATCAAAAATAATGAGTTTTTGAATGTCATTCATATATATTTTTTTTCATTTTTGTTTGAGAGTAAAAAAAATAAAACATAAAAATTTGCCACCCCTTACAAATTGCCGTCCTAGGTTCAGCCTCACGAGCCTAGTGGTTAATTTGCCTTTGACTGTAACCCACAAATGTTTAATAATAAAAATTGTTTAAATGTGAATATTTTAATATTCATCAGTAATCGCGTAATATTATGTAATTATAACTGTATGTTTTGGTCACTTCGTTCTCATATTGTTCTTCGAATCCTATGTCGAATGGTTGACAAATCCGTACTTTGTAAGAGAGACATTTTCACAGCTGTACTTCGTCTTTCCTGAAAAATTTGTATACACGGGGATAATATTCTAAGATACGTTTGGAAAATTCCAACAGTGTAAGAAGATACAACGGTCAAATAACGTTTTAAAATGTACGTGTTACATAACAATCCGGTTTATGATACACACATTTGATAGAGGAGGTAAATGATAAACCTGAATGGTAATATACCTACGCACATGAAATACAGAGCTTGTCTGGAACAGTTCAAAATGATGGACGGTTATTTCATGAAATGAGTTGATGTAGACCTAGTGATTAATTTGTTTTTGCAAATTGTGCAAACAGACCGAATTCGTTTTTATTAGATTTTAATTATAATATTATTTGAGACGATATTAACTATCAAACTATCAAAGATCAGATAGTTAATATATTTTTTTTAACGGGTAAGTAGACTAATATATTTTTAATATAATATCTATTACTCGTAATTCTCAAAAATTACACACTATTTGGAATTTTTTTTAACGTTTAAATTTTATATTGGTATTGATTATTTCACCGTAGGGTTTTCGTTATATAATTTTGTAGAAATAGAATTGAATAGTACGAATGTTTTTGAAAACTAAGACTCGCTAATAAACATTCCGTCATAATATTGTTATCGGCATTCCGTAAAACTTATATCAAATTATAATTAACATTCCAGTCAAAATGTATTTTAATTTATTTATTTAAAGACTTTTGGAATGACAAACAGAAAAATAAGAAATCTAGTGTTTGAAGCAAGATTTGAATTAAAATAAAAATGTCGTTTACGAACGTTCTAATATTTATAGTTCAAATTATCAACAATAATTTTTTATACTTAATTGGTTACAATATAGTATAATATAAAATAATTATTAACCACGCGGAGAACAATCTTATGGTTTCATTGTTTCAATAAATTATAAAATATAATTCAACTGTGCGTAGGTAATTTTATTAAAGCAAATATAAATTCAAGTGATATTCATCACCTATATTTTTTTTAGAATAATTATATTGACTCTTTTCTTAACATTAGTAAGGGTATAAAAAATGAAATTTAACCGAGAAAATGTGAACTATTACAATGTAATATTATCATAACAAAGTGGTTAATTTTACAATAGAAGTTATTTTAGAATTTAATATTGATAAAATTAGTCATATTATTGGATAGATCAATACAAAGCGAGACCTATATTTATCTATATTATTTGTCATTGAAGAATACTTAATGAATTCACTAGATATTAGTAAATATGACGAATAAAATATAAATTTTAAACTATTGATAATTAATAATATTAAATTTTGATGGAATGCAATGTGATTATGTAAGTTTTTGTAGGTCTCTGTATCACCACTGAATTAATTATACGTGTATTTTATTCACGATTTCTACCATAACACGATCGATAGCGTGTCAAAATTCACATTTTTTTTGTATTTTTTAACGGAAAACATACAACGCTAATCTATAAAACGCAAAGTTTCACAGTTCGTAATATGCATAATTATACAGTTATAGTTTGTATACCTTTATTTTATCAAGATTTTTTTAATTTTTTTTTTTATAAATAATGTGAATTTAATAATTAATAAGGACACATGCGCTGACCATAGTTAATATCGTTTAGTTTGTCAAAAATGTTATTATACTTATTTTATTATTATTATACTTGTCATATTATCTAAAGGCGATCGTCTCAGAATATTTTAAATTTAAAATTTTCTGTTATTACTTTATTCTGTCATTGTATTAGTATTATTATATTAGGATGATACATTTTTTTTTTACTTGAATAAAGTGTTATCATATTTTCTTTTTCTAATGGATTCTTAATTTACTGTTCATGAAGACTAGACACATATTGCAAATCTATCGGTAAGTATCTTTTCCGTATGTAATGGAAATATTAAATGTTTTTGTTAAAAATATTCAGATTGCTGTAAAGATAATGGTTGAAAATAATAAAAATGTACATTCAATATATAAATAAGTATTTTATATTTTTTGAGAATACATAAAAACAGTAAAACCGAGTTTCTAAAACACGAATGTAACTAGTTTAAATGAACACAGCCAACTTTATTAAAACAAAAAATTGGTTTTTATCAGAATTTGACTTAACTATTAAGTTCTTAAATCGATATATCATATCGTAACTGCATACAAGTGCATAAATGCATTACACATTTAAATCCTTAGTTACAGTGACAGAATACATTTTTTTTTTTTAACTATTTTTCTTTTAATTATTGATTGGAATGATATAACATATAATTTTTTAAGTACAAAAAAAAATGTCATGCAGTGTAGGGTTAAACAATTTTAAGAAATAACGTTAACTACCAATACACATGTATTATTGGTTATATTTACATTAGAACTTGATATATTTCTAATAAGATAAACTCGTAGTTCAAACAATAATACATTTCAAATTTTTTTTTAAACAAGGTTTCTTACAGTGTTCGTTTTTACCAATAATTATTAAATAAAATGATTCAAGTCTGATATTTCATATTATTATCCTTGTAGGACTACATAGTTTATATTTCTAGATAAGTTTTATAATGATATCGATTTTTATTAATTTAAAACTCAAAAATACTTATTATGTATATTTGGTGTGTAATGTTGCATTTCTTGATCATAATTATGTATAAATTCTGATGAAATACTTAGAACGAGTGTACATATTTCATAATTTTGTTCTTTGGATATCATATTACAGGCAGACGTGCAAATATTGACATATGATTCGCACTTTGTGCAAGTTTATAGAAATAATGAGTTGGTTACTTTGGTTAAGTTACCTAATGTAATATTATTTGTATAATTTGAAAACAATGATAATTCGTTGCATTAAAAAAATGGATTTTAATAGTTTTCAAATTATAATCTCGATTTTTTCGTTATTATTAAAATAAAATCTTATAATTATATTACCACCTTAATATTAAATAAATATAAACTAATATCAACATCAAATCTATTATTAGAAATTTAAATATTGAAATGTGGAAACCACAAATCTTACATGATTTGTGCTATTGGTTTATTAACACGAGATGAGTATATAAATAAAAGAAAATATTACATTAGAATAACAAGGTTGTTTTATAAACTATGCCTAGTTATATTTATGTAATACATTAGGTAAGCGTTTTATTATGACCATCAAAATTGTGGCGGATAACTTTAATAGGTTTGTTTATAATAATATCAATAATATTCAACCAGTTTTCGTATTATTATAATTTATAATTTAGTATTTTTATGGTAAAAACCAATCTATTTCAAATTTATTTTTCATTAACATAAACAATTTAACAGAAATAATAATACCATATTATGTATTTTGCTTCTCTGACAGTGTAGTCATTCTGATATTACTAGTAATTTAATTAGGACGTAATATGACTAAAATATGCATTTTAGGCATGCGTTTTGTTATCAAAAAGTGTGAGTACGCCGTACGGGCAAGTTATACACTGATATAATAATATGTAAATTATCTTGTTTATTGTAATCAATCCTTGCAATATTTTATCGGTTTGAGGGGCATAAAATCACGTTGCGCACATTTTTTTTATTGAAAAATTTACCTAAATTATTAATACTTATATATTGTATACAAGAATTTAACAAGCTATCGAACATTGGAAAACCTTCAAATCCCTACTTATACGAAAAAATCCTTACGAGTTCTAAGAATAGGTAACATAATTCGTCAAATTTTGAACCACATTACAAATAAATTCGTTTCTTCAATGATCTTTTAACGTAAATAAAAGACGATCATCGCTGAAAGAGTTTTTTCAATTTAGTATTAAAAAAGTACCTTCGTACATAGTTACAGTTTAATTTTAACTTGTTTAATAATTTTCTTTTGAAAAATAATTTTAAATATTTTTATTTTAAATATTAAAAGATCTGAGGAAAAAGAGAGGGGATTGTATTTTTATATTCCGATTTTGTAACTACGTTATTTAACATAACTCCAATCCTTTCTTCTTTTTCCTCTCCGATAAAAAAAATAAAATAAATAACCGGGCAACGTGGTGACACTCATAACGGTATTCAGAAGAACTCTGTAAAAAAAAAATTTGGAAAATGTTAAATAATAACCTCACTAAATTGAAACATAAAAAAGGCCTATTATATTATATATATATAAATATATATATATACATAAAAGGATTATTATAATTCATATAGTACATAGTACATATCGGTAAATTTAACTTTATATAAGTTCGGAGTAGGAAAATGCACCCATATTGCCTATAACGACATATGCAACCACTGAATGGCAATTGAAATAAGAGAAATAACAAGACACTGTTTATGGGATCACGTGAAATGCAGGGATGACGAGTGGCTGATGGTTCTTGGCCAAAATGGCGAATTGAAAAATAGTGAAAGCAAATTGGCGAAATCAGAAAAAGCGAAGTTTACATTCTTGTAAAAACCATAACAGCAAAATATGTATTTATATTTTATAGTTTATTTTATATTTAAGTTAATTGAAATGTTACAAGCAAACAAAAATAAAAGTTAAAAAAATTAAGATTATATTTATTCACAGATTTTGTTTTGTTTTAATGCTATAAAAATATGTATTAATTAAAAATTACAATATTTACATTTGTAAGCTCAGGCTATACGCGATACCTTTTGAATAATTAATAATGTCATTAATGTTTTAAGATGAAGTGATTATTGCTCCGGCAATGAATTGTTGGTGTTTAATTTCCGAAAAATATTGTTGCTCCTTCATCACATCAATAAATCTTCATATGGTTGGATGCTATGCCTCTTAAGTTGAAATTACATTATAAATTGACTGATATCTGATTTTATCGGTATAAGAATTATTATGGTTATTTCCCAAAAATTCGATATATTTTCTATCGCTATAATTCAGTTTCGCTAAATTTTTTTTTTGAATTAATTATTTTTCTTTTCGCTATTTTTTTTCCGCTATTTTGGCTGGACACCGTGACTGATACAGGTAAATAGTTCTTATATACTTAAAATGCATTCACCATTGATTTCGAAAAACGGATCTCAACGAATTAGGTCGGATATATCACTTTGTATGACTGTAGAAGTATATGGTTAGGTATTTAATTTAGTATTTAGATTGGTCACATTGTACAATCAACTTTAGATTAAACTAAGTGTATTCTATATATGGTTGTAAATTAAATAAATAAATTATAATTTATTTAAATCGACACCACAATAACATTATACAAATACATATTTTTCAAAACATATTTTTACAGAATATATATAATAACTGTTCAACGTTTATTTGATAACTTTCAATGCATACGACTATGTTTATAATTTTACTAAAAAGTATTCACGTTTTGTTATCTTATTTCTATATCAAAATTTAAAAATACAATAAAATAAAAATTCAACAAAGATTTGTTTTATATTTTTCATACACAAAATATCCCAAATGTATGGAGATTTAAGTATACAACAGCATATTATATGTTCTCGTCAATGGCGTTATTGAAAATGTTCAGTAGGTATATTTTGAACTGTTTTTTTATGGGCAGTAATATTGTTGGATGGAATTTTTATGGAATGCCTAGCTTAAGCTTAGTGATAGAGTCAATGACATAAATACTTGAAAAACTAAACATTATTTTTATGATTGGTCTATCATTTTCATTAGTGACCAAGACTATGACATTAGTTGTAGTCGTAATGATAATGTGGTATGCATAGTCAATGAAAACATGTGATAAGATACTGTCAGTTTACTGTAAAGAGGTACATGATACCTTCAAATGTATAGATTATTTTATTACTTTTATGGAGATCCATAAATATGGACTCGCATATAGCAAAATGTTATTGACGTAAAAATTTGCTTAGCAAATCGACGACTATCTACATTTATTTTGTAGGCACAATGAAGATTGAAGTAATGTTAGATTTAGTCATAGATAAAAATATTCAAAATCATTAACAAATCATGTTTAATATCGACAGTAACACGTAAAATGACCATTTTACATGAAATAATAAAAAGAAAAATTTATCAAAAATCTAAATATTATTTTTCGGTCTTGTGTATGGACGTGTTTTTGAAGATACTTGATATTCAGGTGCTTCTATTCGTATTTTTTTTCTTGCAATCTCTACAAAAATTAACAAATTTAATATCATTTTGATAAAATATTTTAAGATTTGGGATTATCTATAACATAAGATTATTAGAATGGTCTCTCTACTCTTGAACAAATGTATGATTAATTAATTGTGTAATCATTAAACACAATTTAATTATTATTGAAAATCAATATAACATACTTATCCTTTAATAATTTTGCGGATGGTGCTGGCGCAAGACCATGTCTGTCTTTGAGTAAATTTGACTCCGTCATCAACCGTAACCCATTAAATTTATTTTTACGTTCTGCTACAAATTGCTAAACAATAAAAGACTATGATTAAATGCTAATAACATACATCATCAATACAATTGAAAAATGACTTGATAACTAATATATGTTTTCTCATATGTGTAGAAACTTAAATATACTATATATCTTGGCTCAGGCTGTAAATAATGAATATAATTTTATATCTTACTATCAACAATCATAAACGTCTATAACCCTGTCTCACCCCCATCCAGAAATGTGTGATTTTTTTTATGTTTATAATTAGTACGTAATTTGTATGAATTTGTATGACTATTCAAAATTTGTACGGAGCTCATGCCATGCCATTGTTATCCAACATATAGATGTTTAAAATAGAAATAGTATGTTTGCAGTACGCCTTTGTATAAATAATAATAATAAAATTTATGAATATAATGTTATAAGAGATTTTAAGCATACAACATTTTTCTAAAAATATTTTGTACTTTGTTAATATAACACTTTGCTAATCAATAAAAACGATAAAGTGGTCGTTTAAATTAATAAAAATTACATACTAATTATTGGCAAAATAAATTTTTGTAAAACGTGTATTTTTACTATTGGGAGGGGTTGGAATAACGTCATTCCTGTCCCTCCCGCGAAAAACGAATTTTTCTAGGTAAACGAGCTCCGTACAAATTCTGAAAATAGTCGTACTAATTCATACAAATTACGTACTAATTATAAGTATGAAAAATCACAAATTTCTGGATGGGGGGAAGGGTAATGGACGCCAATCATAATAATATACTGCTGACTAATGGATGAATACAAAACTTACGTTAAGAAACAAAAAAACTATTGATAATTACAAAGTATACGTCTCTCCACATTTGATCTCTGCCGGGGTTCTCATTCCGGAATTGTTTTTTTGTATGATATTCCCACAACTTATTTGTATATTGTATCAGATATGGATTATTTTTTTCTATTTTGTGTAATTGCTTGGGAGTAGCGAATTTCAATACCGGTTCTAGATGGTGAAATGGGATCCCTTTAGTACACTTTAAATCTAAAAAAAAAAAGAAAATAATATAATATTACCGTAATATCAATATACCGGTGAAATCAAAATATAATTACAATCTTGTACACATCATCGTACACCCAGAAAATAATACGTACCGTCTAAATTCTTCTTCAAAAAATTAATACACGTATCTTTAAGACTAGGGACTTCTGGATCCACGGGCCTTTTACTCTCAGTATATACCTTTGCCCTTTTAAATATTATTTAAGGTGAAAACATATCTATGAATATAAAATATTCTATGTATTTTAATGTAAAACCTCTTATATTTTTTCGAGAATATTTCATCCAGTGGATCGATTTCTTCGACAAATTTTCTTTTAACATCAATTGATTCGTTTTCGTTCAATCGTTTGGTAGAACTTCCTGCTGCAGCCGATTCCATGATTTTGAATAAGGTTTATCAATTTGTTATGAAAATTTAAAAAAAAATCAACTGATATTTCAGAAATAAACAAAGTCTTTTAACAATATAACTGCAAATTAAGCTATTTGAAGAATGATCTTCACTTGTATTGTAATTACTTATACAATATTAAGTAAGTTAATTTATGAATACACTTGATATGTAGCTAGTACGAATTCTCATACAAGAATGAGATATCAAGCTTGTTACTATTAGAAGCAAACATGTCATAAATCAACATCACCCCTGGTAACGGAATATATAAATTTATATTTTATGTCAACTATTTTTGAAATGAAATATTTATGTATTATTTCAATTAATTGGAAAGCTGTTGAGAATTAAAAAATAAAAATGATTAAAATGTACCTTAATGGTAACATTTTCTATAGAAAAAAAAAAAATTTACGATGATCGAGGTATTCCTTCTGGCCGAAATCTTATTGACAGACAAAGGAAAAATCATAATATTAAAGCTTGTTTTATATATACATAATAATTTACGAAATAAAATGCATGTATTTAACAAATTACCATTTTATTTGATATACATACTAAATTAATATGATATTAACATTTTCTTTCAGTGTTATCGGTCTGCTAATGTTATCAGTTTTATTAGTGTCAAAGTTTAAACATTCAACATTTTATAAAATGGTTAAAAACGCTTGAAAGTTACCCCTTAGGTTTTCTTTTACTATAGTAAAATATTACTTGTACTATAGACTATATTCTTACTTGGCTTAATTAAAAATATGAGAATTATCAAAATGTTAAATTTTCTATTATTCAATTCGATTATATTCGAAATTTAAACTCTTGTTTAATAGTTATTAAATATCTGGAATACATAACCGAAACGATTGCTGTTTTGAGTTTGAGAAATTCGTTCTTTAAACAATCGCGTCAGCATGTACACATAAAAATATCAGTTCTCCAGTCTTGTACTAGTCATTATCATTATGTTATAATGGCAATAACGGTGCTTACGATGAACGGAATCCATGAAATAAGAAATGGTAAACTCCTAAAAAAGTAGGTAATCTCCTATATGGACATAGTGTTAATTCATACATAAGATAGTGTTAACTCTTATAATATGGTAACAAAAAGCTGAACTACTAATATAAAAATAAATAAATTTAATCGATTTTGTTATAATACATTTTTTTATATTTTAATACAGTAGTTTAATTGTTTATTTTAATAAGTATAAAATTTAATAAAATTCATGACGTGAAATTTTTCTTTCATTGTATTTTTTTTTGTTCTTATAAGTACTCATATTTTAAAATTGTTTTTGGCTGTCGAAGCCGAGGTGTATCATTGCTTCTAATTTTATATATGTTTCGGTCTGTATGTCTAGCAAAACTTTCACAAATAAATGCAGATTCGGATGGTGATGATAAAAATTGCTATTAAATTTAAAATGGAAAGATTCACAAGCATTTGTTGTATTATTAGCAGACTATAATTTTGGAGGAAAAACACATTATACCAGCTCGATTATATCGTATAGAGCGTCATATTATGTATGTCATTAAACGCCGTGGACGAAAACTGGTCGCCTTCAGTATTGATCTCATTTTGAGTAGACTATAGATTATAGATATAAACACGATTTTTAAATTCCACTGTTTAAATATAACTTATTTAGTATTAATTATAATATTCGGCGGTTATGTCATGTAGCTTTAACCCCGATCTAAAAGAGGTCCGTGTAGGAGTTTACACCATATTTTATTAACAGGTAAAAAAGATCTGTGCAGGAGATAACAATATGTTTGAAATTCGGGTAAAAAGTTAATTCGTGTAGGAGTTTACATGCAGCCGACGAAATCGCAAACCGTACGTGTACAGGCGCACCAGCCGTACCGGGTCGCGATTTGTTTGATTTTTACGATTTGTTTTATTTTTTCTAACCGGATTTCAGATTAGAGCAGAAAACCAACATGGAAACGGTAGAACGGGGGGAAGCGTCGGCGCGCGAGATCGCCGGCTCGACGGCGGACGGGCAAAAGGACGGTAGGCGGCGGCAAGTGGACGGCGGGTTTCCGTCGTGGGCCGTGGACGTGCTGAGGAACGTGACGGTGGAACCACTGCTGGGCGTGTTCCAGCTGTCGATGATTCTGTCCAGCCTGACCACGCAGAACCTGAACCTGCAGAAAGCGTGCCGGGTGAACATGGCGCTGGATGAGGCGACGTGCGGCGCGCTGCGCGGCAACCGGAACGGCACGTTCTACCGGGATGAAGAGATCGGCGCGCAGCAGTTGGTGGCTGGCATGATGGTGTGGCAGAACGTCATACAGAACGCCGTGCCCTGTGCCCTGGTCGTGTTCATCGGGTCGTGGAGCGACCGGCACTGCAGGCGCAAACCGTTCATGCTGATGCCGATCCTGGGCGAGTTGGTGCGCAACGTCGGTCTGATCGTGTGTGTGTTCTACTTTTACGAGCTGCCCATGGAGGTGGCCGGCCTCGTCGAGTCCGTCCCTTCGTCCGTCACTGGCAGCCTACCTGTACTGTTTCTCGCGGTATTCGCCTACGTGGGAGACATAAGCACGGTTAGTGTGTGTGTGTGTGTGTGTGTGTGTGCAGGGTTTGAATAGAAATTAATCTATGGAGAGAGAAACCCGGGCCCGGGGGTATATCTTAATTTTTTCTGCAGTGTTCATTAAATTCTTATCATTAATTGTGTTTAATTTTTAGTAATTTGTAGTTCCTAATTTCCGGGAATTCTCAACAATTCTGGTCCCGAGGGGATCATCTCTTTCCCCACTTATCGTCAGGCCTATGTGCGTGCGCGCATGTGTGTGTATGTTGATTCCGGTCCGTTTTCGTCCGGTCAGAATGCACCGGTTCATGGATCAAGCATTGGTTAATTTTTTCACGTTCGCTCGTTAGAGTCGCACGGAAATATTCGAAACGAAAGCAACTCGGTTTGTAAAATTAGTCCCTTCAATAATACTCCTGCACATTATTCGGACCTAACATCGATGTCTTGGAACAGTGCGTTGGAACTTCGATAAAAGAAAATTATTAACGCAACTATCATTAAACGAATCGAAACTGATTAGTGACTGGAGTGAGAATCTGATTTCGAAAAGGCATCTGGTTTGGTGACACTTGCATTCGTTGATTTTTTTTAAAATGAGAATCGATAATTTTTTTACATCATAGTACGTTGTATGTATTAATATACATTTTTACAATAAGTACAATAGTTTATTGATTACATTCAAAAAACAACTAACTAACGCTATTTTGTAATTTTTCCACACTCTTGGCCGAATGTAAAGGGGGCTAGTAATCATGACTAAAATTAACTTAAATATCTTGAAATAAACAAAAATTATGGGATGAAAAATTAAAAAAAAATGTTTTCTCCGCCTATAACTTAGGGCCACCCTAGTATTTATATATATAAAATATATAATAAATTAAATTAATATTTCAATATAATTAAATATAATAATAATAATAATAATAATAATACGTGTATTTTACATTCTACAGGTTGAAAATAGAACACTTCGTGTTGGATTCGTTACGTTATTTTCCTCCATCAGTGTTCCAATTGGAGCCGCATTATCAGGCATTTTGTTTCGAGAATATGGTTTTTATGGCGTTTACATTATATCCACTGTGCTATATTTGATTACCTTCGTTTATGGTATAATTGTGATCAGTGACGTCAAGCCTGCGATCGACGAAAACGGTGACAAGCCCGTCGTGGTCACCAAACAAACGGGAAAATCTTCTTCTCTGTGCAACATTGTTGAGTTTTTCGATTTGATACACGTAAAAAAGGCTATTTGGGTTACGTTTAAGCAAGGGGACGACAACAGAAGGACTAACATTATTTTGTTGATGGTTATCGTGGTCATTCTTTTGGGGCCGTTGAGCGGTTAGTACAAATGTGTTATTATATAACATAATAATATCGTGTGCATTTGAACAGTCATGAAATACACACTAAACTGTCAGCTGATATATTTTAATTTCAAAAACCGATTTGATTAAAATAATGATCGAGTACAAAAAAATTCAGTAAGATCCTCGGTATCAGTAAGATCAGGGTACTTTTGCCTTACTTCGAATCTAAAAAACGCTGCTAGTAAGATGTTTACAGTTTTTGTTATATTTTTACTAGTAATTAAGCACAAAATTTAATTATTTCATCAATAATAATAAATTATTTAATTAATAATGAACTTTTTTTTTTTTTGTACAGTTTATGAGAGTATACCATAAAAGTATTAATACTTAGAATACTTCCACGGGTTGAATTTGGTTAACGAGCTGTAGTTTGATTATCACTGATCTAGATTCTAGTGTTAAACGGATAATATAGTCTTTCCACAATCGCAAAATCAATAAGTTCCTCGCTTCGCTCAGATCCAAAATCTTAAAATGTCATATCCCTCGTGTATACATAGAATACCATCTATAATTATATTTTCTAATTTTTTCATATTATTATTATTATAAGAAACGTGTATTGATTTTTATTCTTCTCGGTAATTCATCCGCAAATTATATTTGATTTCTTTACGCAGTTGTTGCAATTATTATTATATCGTACATTCTTATGTTTATTTCTTTTTCATAGAATTTAATTGTGCACTTTTTTTTTTTTTATCATAAAACGTTATTTATGTGATTTATCAAAACATGTTCCAGGTGAACAATCATTAATGTATTTGTTGACTCGAGTCAAGTTTAACTGGAACGAAGTAGATTACAGTTTGTTCTCAACGTATTACTTTATTTGTAATCTTATTGGTATAATTACTACAATAGCTATTAATATTATATTCAATTTTTCATACAGACGTTGAAGACTATTTTTGAATATTCTAGGTATTGGATTTACACTGTGCGTGTTAGTTAATCGATTCGGCGTTGACGACAGACTAATTGGAGCTATTGGATGTCTGAGCAAAGGACTGGCTGCATTTGTTTACGCGTTCGCACCGACCGGATTCGTATTCTATGTAGGCAAGTGGTTTTTCACGTTTACTTATTGTTACAGTGCAATACAATTTTTTTTTTTTTTTAATGCGATTATATAATGAGTTGATATTTAAATTAAATAAATTAATATATCATAGGTCCGATTGTTGACATTTTTCACGGTACGGCATTCGTAGCTATGAGGTCGATACTCTCAAAGCTTGTTCCAGCAAACGAACTAGGTAAATATTTCACCATGATCGCATAACAATAAATACGGTGTTTAAGTTAAAACACCACGATATAATAATTACAATATTATTATTATTACTGTGACAATGTTCCTACATTTTTTTTTTTTTTAATTTGTTACCCAGGTCAAGTGTTGGCGGTATTTTCGCTCGCCGAAACCGTGGTTCCTGCTATATTCCGACCACTGTACAGTGTAATTTATCAAAAAACGTTGAACTGGTTTCCCGGCGCGTTTTACATTTTCGGAGGAACGATAAATCTTCCCGGTGTGTTGATCTTCTTGTAAGTCAATATTGATATTTATTACAAAATGCTTTTTCTATTGTCATTTATTATTCAACAATACCATTTGATAGTTCATCAGTTCGCTACACACAGGGCCACATTATAGTTATACGAGTATAATAAGGGGCTATTTATTTCAGCAGTGCCATTGCAAGCTTTTGTGGTAGAATTTCTTTACCAACTATTCTAACTTGACAAATTGTGGGTCCCCGAATATATTTTTAGTGTGAGGTCCTAGACATTTGCCTGATTACTAACGACACTGACTTTCGGCTGGGCCCTTTCACCGAAAAGGACTTTATCTTTTTTTTCAGATTTAGTGATTTGTTATAAATTTTAATTAAAATAAGTATAGTATATTTGTATATTATAGTATGGTCACAATTAATTGATAAGACAGTACTTTATACTAGTTAGGCAACGATTATAAAATACGTTTTATCGGTAGTATAGAAAAATTACATTTTATTCATATTTTGATATACATTTATTCGGCATATGCAATAAAAGAAGTACGTATTAATTTTATAAATGTTTAAAAAAACGTTTGTTTATTTTATATATAAAAAAAAAACGAGACAATACATTATGTCTCATTTCATCTTGTGGCCCGGGATTATAGCGACCATAGCCCCCTCCCTTAATCCAGCTCTGGTAACACATGCTTACATGAAGCAATTATGCAAGATATATATTCTTCTGATTAAATTGGCATAATATTCACACTCCAGAAGTCTATTTTTGTTGTCGATGGGTAACTTCGTTGCGCAGGCAGATACAACGAAAAATTTAGCAATTAGTGTATGCGCAGTTTTTTCTAAAAGAGGCGTGATATTTAAATAAAAAAAATATATTATTTATTTAAATTGTGCATGCAAAAACTGAATTGATTGCAAAAAAATTTTTTTTAACCCTCGACCCACGGGGGAGGGGGATCTATCCCCCATATCTACCTCCCGTAGATCTGCCACTGGCGCTGAGCGTCCTCATATGGGTACAGATGTATTGCTTTTTTTTATAATACGTTTGAAGAAATTTGTATCAATATTTTTCAAGTATTATTATTGCATGAGTTTGTATGTTATCTCCTCTTCATTTTGATATAATATTTAGCAAATCAATTCGTAAACACTATTTAGACGATATACATATTATTTTAACCAAAATTTTAAAATAAGCGATTTCTTTTATTTTTCTGATATTCGACTACAGTAAGTATAAACTATTATTATTTATAAATGGGCGATCAAATATTTGCATTTTATATGTTCTTACAAACATTTATTTGGAAATTTTTTCAATTTGTTGTATCTATAATTTCTATAATTTATTAAATTATATTTCCGTAATGCATATTTGCATCTTACTTTTTATTTTTGAAAATTTTAATAAAATTAATAAATAATTATCGCTGCAAAATTAAAATCAAATATAAAATTTATTAAAACTTAAAATTTTATTTTGCATGTTTCGCATTTTTATATGCATATTTTATAATATAAAATGCATATAAATCCAGTCTTTACTCATATTTAATAAATATTTGTATTAAAACAGCAAGGGCCGTGGCACAAAAAATAGGGCAAAGCAATTCAAAATAAATTCAAACGTCCAAGCGTGAAGTGTAAGGTTAGATTTTAATATTTTAATGAATAGATTAGACGGGTAAAAAAATCTTTGGTGGCGCAAAATAAGGTAATACTTGTATTTTAACATTGTTGAATATTGAAACATAAAACCTCTGTAGTAGTGCTTGGTAGAAATATCCGGGTTCTTGGAATTCGAAAGTCAAAATCCTGATTTTACTCTAAATTCGAATTTCAGATTTTGAAATCATGGATTTTAATCAAAAACCGATTTCAGATATTATTCTATACTTGGATTTTGGGTTTCATTCTAAACTTTGATTTCGGATTTCGAAAAATTGAATTTATAAATTATTTATTATTTATTAATTTATTTTTAATATTCTTTTATACATGAATTATAATAAAACTTTGATAGTTACACATATTTTGTAAGACATTGAATTTTTATTATAATATAGAATTGCTCTGTACATATCAGGATAAATATGATTATTATGAAGAAATTTTTTGATAAAATAACGATTATTTTCATAAATAATACAATTTGTGGTGTTTATTTTTAGATGGATGTATTTTGAAAAAAGTAAGAAACAAGAATTTACTGAAGAGAAACAAGCTTTATCCACAGAAGTCGATAGCCATCACAACACTAAAATTTACAAAAATTATTAAAATGTTTAATTATTGTCTCGAATTTAATTTATAGAAAAAAAATAGTTTTAACTTTATTCAACTATTTTTTGATAGAAAGTTACTAATTTAAATCACACAACTTCTTATTGAACTAAGAAGAGTCATTCTTAAAATGGTTTGTAGTTTTTTTAAAAAACATATTTTTATTGTATTTTTATCCTATAGCTTATATTATGTAATTCTACTTTATATAACTTTAGGGTTTGGATTTTCATTATTTATAATTTCATCGAGTAAACTTTTTTTATGGAATAATATTTACTAAGACAGTATTATAGTTTAGTCTCTGGTAAATCATTAAAATCATTCCATCTACTCTTAAAAATAGATTATATATTACTAAAGACTGAAATTATTTGTACTTAACATAACACAATATACCAACAATTATATTATGAATAAATATAAAAAAAAAAACAAATCAAAAACAAGTTATTTATAAACCGTATAAATATTATCAATAATTTTATAAAAAGTAAGTTTAAATATTTTTAAGTGCATAAATGTTATTGTTCGTTTAAATCCGTGTTACACTTACTTTTGAAATAAATTGTGTATTTTAACTTATAATTTTATTTATATAGATTAAAAAATCTAATTTAATTAAGCAAAATGTAAAATGTGCAGTGTTTTTGAATTATTAAGCATTCATTTGTTTTTGAAAAATGTTTTTTTTTTTTTATAAAATATATTAAATTATGTTGATACATAGAATTAACTGTTCTACTTAATTTCCTAAAAAAGAAGGCTGGTAATGTTGACAATTAGCAAGATGATTTTAACCAATCATCTTTAATTCCTAATAATTTTATATAGCAGTTTTCAGTTTATTTAAGTCAGGGGCTCCCAAACTTTTTTTTGCTTCCAAAAAGGCTTTATTAGAAAAAACTCAAATAGGCCTTTAGTAATATACTTTGCCCAATAATTTAAAAAAGTTTGAATTTCACAGACCGTGAATTAATGGAATTGATTATTTTTATAGCATCATCCATTACGTTTTCAAAGAAGGAGACATGGTTTGCATTGCCAGAGCGTGGTCCTCTTCAATGTGTTCTTCAAAAGATTGCATATTTTCGTAACGAACGAACACCATTAAACTATCAAGACATGCAAAATCAGTTGATTAATCCGGTTGTAGAGCAAATGTTATGTATTTAATAATAGTGACAAGTGTTTTTCTACATTTGTAGCTAAACCTGATATTCGTTGTGCAATAGTATTGTTTGACAAAGGAATTGTAGACAAATGTTTGGCAGATTTTTCATTAAGCATACAAGTTGCTATATTTATAAGACATGGTTTTATAAGGGTTTCAATAGTATGAGCTTCACCTTTTTGAGCAATACGGTAGCTCACCGTGTAAGAAGCCTTCAATGTGTTTTCATTGTCGGATTGAACAAGTGTTTTTATTTTGTTTTGAACAAATTTTTTGTTCAGTACGCTTTCATTTAAAATAGTCAATCGTTTTCCCTTTATAATTTAGATGGATCACTTCAAAATGACAGCGAAATTTTCCGGCATAAATAGAACTTTTAAGAAGAACTTTCAAACAAATTACGCACTGTGGCTGTAGTATCTGTGAACCCCATCTCTAAATAATTTTCGTTGTATTTACGTTTTTTGATCGGGTTTACGAAGTCATTCGCATTTGATTTACTATGATTAACTACTTGACTACCATTTTCGTCATTGCTTCCCCCTTTTACGAACTGAATACATTGAGTTGTCTTTGTAATATGCTTTTTATTAAAGTTTTCACCTTCCAACCAACGGTCCATCTTTAAAAAATAAAAGAACACGTAAACGTCGTAAACAATACGCACATTTGATACGTAAATAACAGAATGCCATGAAACGGTGTAAATTCACGCAAACTACTGAAGGTAAAGAGCTAAAATAAATTGATTATATCAAATAGACTTTATATTTTAGATTGACTAGATACGATATTTTTTATTTTCATTTTTATTAATAACTATGGCATTTTCAAAATAAGCAAAATTTTTAAAAAAAATTGGATGCAAGTAATGAGTGTAATAAATATTTGATAAAAAAGATAAATAATCTTCAAAACTTGACATATTTTACTTATTTTGCATTTGAAATTGAACAAGTAAGAAATTTGTGATCTAAAATCGTTATTAAAAGGCTGTAGAAATTAACAAAAAAAAAAAAAAAATGAATGTATAAAAAACAACAAAATAAGTGATATTTCAAAATATCGTTATCGAAAGGAACATTTTAAATTAAATCGATACCTATTGAAATTATTAGTATTTTTTCATTTTGGCCCACCCCTAGTTTCAAATATCAGAATAATAAGTAATACGAATTTAATTAAAGTTAATTAATTTTTATTAGTTATTTTATTAGTTAATTAAATATATCGTCCGACATGATTAGATGATTAAGGTAATATTAGTGAACAATCAATACTAATAATTATTTACAATAATAATAATTATGACCAAATTACTATATTTTAAAATTTTAATTAATTACAATACTATGACAATACTATTTTAAAGTATTATATTTATGAAATATAATTACATTATTTTTATTTAAGATCAGGTCTCACAACAAACGCCATTTAGCGTTAAGTCCCCTTGGACTTAGAAGATTTATATTAAAGATGCTGTATAATCTTACCTTAAATAAGAAAAAATCCGTCGTATTCCATCTCCCTTCACTTTAACCACTGTTTACCTTTTTAAAAACATTCAACAGTTTCAAATGCTGTATTCATAGATGATTCATATCGAATACACGATTATTAAAATTATTAAGATAAAAAAAAAAAAAATGATAATATAATTCAACAAAATATCATAATTATTATAAATTGTTGTTAAAAAAAAAAAAAAAAACTGTAAAAACATTTTTGTGTGATTAATATTTATTTTTATATAATTTTTAGTAGCATAATTCTACATTTTCTATTCTGTTGTTTCTATATATTTTTCTATTCTAACTACCAATCTAAGCGAGGTTTATCCACTAATTTGACTGTGAAATCTTCGGGAGCTCTTTCAAATTCTACCATCACTATGGTGTTCAATCCAGAAACTAAATATGGTGCTGGCACATAAAGTGTGATTTGTGGCCCAACTTGAGGCCAATATCTTCCGATGTTTATGTTATTGATAAATGCAATACCCTAAAACGTGAAAAATTTAATTAATTAATTTTTTTTTTTTTTGCTTTTATTAAGTTCTTTTTAGTAATACAATTATTTATATATAATGGCCGTATATATAATATGGCCGTAGCATGAAGATATGGTGAGAGTTGTCAACGCCCCGAGTGAAATTCTTGGGAAACGCCAAAATGAAAAATTTGCATTTTATCTTCAAATTTACAACGGTCATTGTTATATATTTAATTTATAATTTTAAATTTCAACCTCTTTTATGCTTAATGAAGCAATTGATGAAAATATTATCTAATAATTATATTATTTTTAAATTAAAAATACTTAAGAGTGCATTTTGAAGTTTCGCCTTGGGCGCAATATTTATTTCCTACGGCAGTTTATATATACATTAAAGTAATATATAAGTTTTTAAATTATTTTTGTACTAAAATTTTGATTGATTGATATTAAAGTATTTTTAGAGAACCCTTAAATCCTAAATACTTTAAATCTGTGATTTTCAACCTTTTGATATCCCAATGAAAATTTTTACGTACTATTTAAATATATACGTAATTAAGTTGCGCTAAAATACATTTTTTTTTATGTATCCGTGTCCAAATAATTTGTTTTTAAAGAAATCTGTGCTCCCATATAATCCTACTTAAAAACATTACGCGTAAACTGCACCAGTTTTCTTGATTATAATCTGTTAGTTGTTTGGCATTTGAAAAAATCTTGAAGATCCGCTAAAATTCTCGATTGGTAGACGAAAAATGCGGCAATTTTTTTCATTTCCGATTTTCACCTACAATAAATTGGTTGTCCGCGTTTTATATCTAGCCAGAGAGATTTGAGCTCATATTCACTAATAACTAATAATATTAAAATATGATCCACTATAAAAAATGTTGTCGAAAATATTTTTCAAAAAATCGAGACAGGCATACCAAACCAGACCGGGGTCAATAAGTGATGATGACGACCGGGTAACAGAACAGAATTATTATAGGATTAATATCTTAAATGAATTCATGTCGAAGTAGCTCTTAGTAGATTAATTAGATTTTTTCTATTTAATATTTTTTACTTTTTTTTGAACTTAGAAGTAGCATAAGTATTCAAATCGAGAATTGCTCCTAAAAGATTAAACGCGACCACAGGTCTAAAATAAAATTGACCAATTTTTCGTTGTTTTTATTAAAATTAAAAATGTATTTAATTATATTTGAATTTATACATTTTTTTAATGAGAATATGAGAAGTGCAAAGTAGCTTATTTCATATTTATTGATATTATAAAATCGACAGGTTACCGTGTACAAATGAATTGGGTAAAAATTAAAATTCACTAAATATAAGAAGAACTTTGGATCTTGAATAAAACAGTAATCTAGAAACCTAAACAGCAATGAGTCCATTGACACTAGTGTGAGGGGGGTTAAAGGGTTAAACCACCCTTCTACATTATAGAAAAATTAAAAAGTAAAAATTATTATGTACAACAGTATTAAAAAAAAAATATATTGTTTTATTTCAAATTAAATCAAAAAATTGTCTTAAATATAAAATACTTAAAATATTTACCAATTTATAATAATAATTATAATTTTATAATAATATATTATATATAATAATAATTATTTCATGCGAATTTCGTGCTGAATATTTGTAAAATAAATATTTCGAATGTGTAAATTTTGACTAGAAGGCTAGCGAGATGTATTACCAATACATCGTGGATTTTTGGTTTTGGAGGGGAACGAGTGTCAAGCGAATTTCCGAATCAGTCTTGCGAATTCATGTGAATTTTGTGCTAATTATTTGTATAATTTTTTTTAGATTTTTATTTTGGGTGGGGCTGGTAACACATTTGTCATGTACTTTCCTAAATGTTATTATTTTTTTAATTTTTACTTTTTATATTAAATATAATTAAAAATAAAAATAAAATATTAATATCAATTTTATGTTTTTTTTTAAATTTTAATAATTATAAATTTTGTTAAATTAATAATATCGTACTAAGTATAAATCAGACGCAATTTACCTAGGTATTGTAACCTTTTGATACTTGATAACATTACACATTGATTGTATATACTTTAGGTGCAGTATAAAATTGCCAGAAAATCCCTCCAAAACAAAATTACTATCAACCTGTTATATAACAGTAATCTCAGTAGACGTTAATTTATCTGTGTGATAATTGTTTTTATCAATAACTAATGATTTTTTTAAATTCACCTTCTACAATTAATATAATCGATCAATATTTTAAAACATTTCTCAGCTTTTAATTAATATTAAAAAGTATGATTGGATTTATAAGCAACTAAACAGCCCAACTAACTGAAGTCTATAGATACAAAACAAAATATTTATTTTTTTTTATAAGTTTTATGTCTAAATTTGAATTTTTTTTATTACTTAGTAACTCTTTATTTTTAAAACTAAAAATTTAAAGATATATTTATTGATATCAGTAAAGTTAATCTACTAACGAAATTAGGAATTTTAATTTCTATTACATTCTTATATTAATTATATTTATATGTTAAGCATACAGTAGTTTTGTACTGCATTCGTCATACTATAACACATTTTAAAAGTATAACTGTTTTGCTGTTTTGTAGTTTATTTAAAGCTAGTTTTCTAAGTAGAAAATAAATGCTTAAATATGATATTTTATTATATTTATAATAAAATATAAAATTAGTTTATCTGTGTTATCAGTTAATTAATTTTCAATTGAATAATTAAAACTCCAACATTAATTATACATAATATGTATTAATATATTATATTAAAATATATATTAAAATCATGCAAGTAAGTAGAATGTATAAAAACCAAAAAAAATAAATAGGTTAAACATTTTGAACGTAGAGAATAAATAAAAGAAATTATTACTAACTTTTGACCACCCAGATGTATCTAAGTACGTATCTAAAGGTTTTGAATGTCTATGGTCTTGAGGTATGATAAATATCCCTCTGTAATACGCAGGTGGTTTCACATTCGGTTGTAGATTTTCAAATTCCAACCAGGATGTGTCGTTCAACGGATATCCAGTCATAACCCACGGACCTAGGATATTTTTTCCTAGTGTTACGTTAGATAAGATCCCCTAAAAAGCATTTATTTATACGTTTCATGTAGAAGGCATTATAACTGAGTTACTTTTTTGTCCTTTAAAAATTTTAAACTGTTGATTCTGCCTTGATTTTCAACTAGAATATTCAGCTTTTTGTTATTGTTAGTTATCGGTACTTCCATTGATGTATCTCCATTTGATCGGCTCATTGTTCCTATTTTCACCTGAACAGATAATATTTATACAGTTACAATGTTTATTATAGTTTGTCAATTGGATTTCTATTAAATATGTAAAAATAATTTTATTATGTTCCGATCGTTAATGTGACCTTAAAATGTAATAATTAAATGTACGAACACAGTCTAAAAATATAATCGCCCGATCCCGAAGTTTTTCTATGATTAGTGGTAGTTTGGTTGGTCGTGCAATCGTTGGTAAATTTGTTTCGTACAAAACTAGTCCATGATTTATATCCATATCTTCAAAGCTCAACGGTACTTCATTTATGACGGGTTTTATGTGCATAGATGTTTGGTCGAATAGACTTACAACAGGTAATAGATTAACTATTCCATAATTGCCTTTAGGTGCACGTCTTGGCGTTGAGGTGGTTGGATGATTCTAAACACATAACGTAACGTACTTATATTTAAGTGGTTTATACATGTTTTAAAAAATATATATAAAGCCATAAATTTTTATTTTCTTCGAAACATTGTTTAGGTTGTGTGAATATAAAATTACCGCTTCTTTAAGGACCCTCTGAATATCATAATATTTGTTTGTAGGATCACCGGCCTCGTCTAATGGAGCTTTGAAATCGTATGACGTTAACTGAGGTAGATAGCCGGCTGTTTCTAAAGTTGATCCTACTGTAGTGGCACCTGAAGAAAATCCGAAATTGGTTCCACCGTGGAACGGAAATAAATTGAACGATATGTTGTTTGATAAAAAATATTTTAACCCTTGGATTATGTCCTTGGAATATCTGTCTGGTCGTGTTTGATTCCAATATGCGATCCATCCAGTGTAAAATTCAGAATTTACCAAAGGACCTTTTTTCTGCACTTCTTTCATATAACCGAAACATTCAGTCACTATAAAAAAAATTATTATTACTTCATTACAAAAATTATGTTAAAATTTACCAGAGTTAATTATACTGTTACGTAAATGTATTGAGTCAAATAATTTATTACATTTTTATAAGAATTTTGGATTCTGAGTGAAATGAGAAATTTATTGGTTTTACCATCTGTTTTTTTTTGTGGCTCTCTACATGATTTCGACAAAAACTGCTTCGATCATCAATAGTTTATTTTTGTAATTGATCAAAAATGTTATTAAGTTGGTAACTTTGGGGGTCTTTTTTATATTTCTCAATAGTTCACAAAATAATTGAGAAAAACTATCGGTTTTCGTCATAATCGAATTTGTTTAAAACTGGACGCTGATATCACCATTTCTAGAGATTGTATAATTTTCAAAATAGGGTTTTCCATGTGTTATTGTTTCCCATTATAACTGTGTTCGCTTTTCATAACATTTAAAAAAAATATATCAACATTAAAATACCTCTTACTAAATCTATTTATTAAAGAAAGAAAAATTTAAACTTATAATAACTATAATTGCACATATTATATCGCATAATAATGGGTCATATCTAATTATAATTGTCGGTTTATTTTCTTTCATCCTGAGTGAAGCTAGAAAACAAGAAACGTATTGGTTGATTCGTGAACATTTACAACCATCTGTCTCGGATTAGATGAAACGGAATTAGTGTTTTTTGTTTTTAGGTCTGTTTTTACGATTTCGATAATCAAAAAGAAAGATAATTAATGATAGCAAATTATGCTAAAAATTATACATAAAAAGTAAATTTTTGAATTTTCACTTAAATTATTTGAATATCTAAACGAACTTGGAATAAATTAAATTATTTATTTTTTTTTCGTAAAATATTAACTATAGGCACTTTTAAATATAGATATGATACTTATATAAACATATATTATTAAAACAATTATAACCATTAATATTAAATTCATTGAATTCATAAATAAATAAATAAATAAATAAATAAATAATTTAATTAGTGGCGGCTCGTGTATATGCGTACAAGTGTACGTGCACTACCTGTCACAGGCGGGTTTAAGGAGGTGGATAAGAGGGCAGTAACCCCCCCTCCACCCTTGGAACTAAACTATCTATTTTACAAAGCAAAGTATTATTATATATTAATAATTATAATAAAATATCGTCAATGATCATTGATGAATATGGTACTTACTTTATATATTTTTTTTATAAATAAATAGCTCACTTTTGTTGTTAATTATATGTATTTACTCATATTTTAAAATGGTTTCAGATTAAAATTGAATGTAACTATTTAAACTTTGTCATTATTGTAAATAAATTACTTACTTACGAGGGACTCAAAAACATATTCTGTAATTTAAAATTGTATAAAGAATTAAAAAACCAACTAACTAAATTCTTAAACCTCCATTAGCCCCTCCATTGGTTAATGATAAGACCCGCCCCTGCTACCTACCCAATCTCAAAGAAAAATTAAAAACATAAACCATAATAATACAACTAAATACCTGTAGTGTTATTAAGATCATTTTTCAAAATATAAATATATAAATTCAGAATATTATGAAAATAATATAATATTTAGATTGGGTTATTCCGAATGCCAAACGGGTAGGCGGTTGTCCACGATTGAACGGTATCAGTGTGTGTGTTATAGTCATAGGCGTGCGCAGGGGGTATGTAAATGTATACCCTAAATGTAGAGCCTTCTTTCCAAAATTACATAAAATAAATAAAAATTATGACATATTTGGTCTTATGTGTATTATGTGATTATGTATTACATTATGATTTTTATTATATTTTTATATTCAGTCCCAAACAGTTTAATTTATTTTTGAAAGACAAATCATATGCTATAATAACGTTAATGAAATTAAGAAGTTCGATAATTCAAGCGAGATTAAATAACTATCAACTACAGAACAAGAAATGGCTATAATTTAAAATCCCGAAGACATTATTGGTGATATTAAAAACTCAACTGTACGCAGAATCTTTTTATGATTAATTTTAATTATTTATTAAATTTATTTTGTTTTTTTGTTTAAGTATATAATTACGTTTTTATTTATTTACCCTATTTAAACGTATTACTCAAACCATTTCAAGTGTTATGTATTTAATTTTTTTTTTTCGTAATTTATTTTAAATTTTAATTATGAAGACAGTTATAACAATTAAGAAATGGCTATTCAGTCTCTTTTTTCGAGAAAAAAAAATAAAATTTCAAATTAAATAGGTAGTTATTAAGATCAGAATTTTGAACGCTTAAATTAACTTTCAGTTTTAGGGGGGGGGGGAGGTAGGCAATGGAAACCTTTTGCATATCCTGAAATAGAGGTCTGCGCACGCCTATGGTTATAGTGGTGCAGTAGTGCACACTATTGCTGTGCACATTTGTACAATGTAAAAATTAAAACAAGTCGAAACACGCAAAACGCGTTATAATGGAATTGATGTGCACATAACTAATTAAATTGTTTTCAGCGAATTGTTTTCGATGTCGCCGCGCCGTTGCACGTTGGCATCGGCATTATGATTTATTTTTATTCTCATTTGATTATTAAATTCTGATTATCGGCTGATAATGTAAGTCATTATCTTTAATTCAAAACATCAATTGTGTTTCAGTTTATTATCAACTACCGACGTTAACGAATATTATAATTCATGTAACTAACGAACAGCAATTCATTTAATTATATATATATATATATATATATATATATATATATATATATATAAGTTAGGAATTGAAATCGATTTCAAATATCGATAAAAATCGTTAAAAATCTTTTAGAAAATTAAAATCAATATCAAAATCGTTAATGGTTAGCATGGACTAAGATATAATGGATTGGAAACGAGCCTCTTATCATGGCCACGAATGTATGTACTAAAGGGAATTGAGGGGGGTCACTATAGGGACCCAGAGTTTACAACGCCATCTGTTGACTAAATATTTAAGCTGAATAATTGGCTTTTGGTGGTTTAAAAAAAGAAACAGTGGGATTTCTTTTTAAACTAGAGCATCCTTTTACACTGCACTTACGATTTCTCATTTTAAAAAAATGTTTTAATAATAAATAATTAAATATTTTAAAATTGTTATTTATCCTTCTCACGGACGTGATTTCTCTATTGGATTAAAATGCGGCACCAAATACGACACGGGTAGCGTTGAAAACATTGGGTCCCCAGTGTTATTATCAGTGGAATCTTTTGGTAGTCGTCCCCCAACCTCCGCCGACCTCGTCGTTTCCAGTCCATTATATCTTAGTAATGATCTTAGTAATGGTTAGTAATGATTTTCAAAATTGAAATTGAAAAAAAGGTAAAATCGATATTTCATATCAAAATCAAAATAATTTTAATAATTAAAATGATTTTAAATCAAATTAATTTAAAACTCAATAGCCATTAGGTCTATTTATATTGTCAATTCGTAGACATTGCCATATTTGGTAATAATATTGATTAGAAATAATAATAAATAACTAGTACCTATTTTATTTTCTTAGAATATTTACGATAAGAAATCAGCGTTCGATGAGCTATTGTTGTTTTTATACACACGATTTATTCCGTATAATAAACTATTTATAAACATTTTGTAGTGTATTAACATAGAATAGATTAAATCAGAATAGAAACTGATAAGAAATTACACGGGCTCTTATGGCCGTCCAAAAATATGGTCCACCATATTGAAAGGACTCATCAGTGTAGACCTAAAATTTAATATGAAATATTTTATATACAATAAAGACAGTGGTGTACAATATTTTTTATGATACCAAGATTATTGTTAGCTTTTTCTTGAATAATGTAAACAAATATACACACACAGAATAGATTAAATCTATTTTGTGATACATATTTACTAATTATAATATATCATTAATCTTTAATGAAAAGGATTTTACTTTTTAACACAAGCCAAATAATAATAGTATTTAAATAAATAAATCAATAAAATTGCATTTTCTTTTTAATTTCAGTTTATTAATGTATTATTTAGTGTATAAACAAAATAAATTATAAATGGTAATAAAAGACATATAAATATTATTAATAATAATGATAATAATAATAAGAACAAATTGTTAAAAATAATTTTCTTTCGGATTATAGGATTATAAATAATTAATAAATGGTAATTACAAATACAAATGAAATATTATAAATGGGATAAGAAATTAGTTTTCCATTTTTTTATTTTTTTTTCAAAAACTGAAGTTCTATTAAAAAATTTAACTGTTGTGAAAATCCTAAACCTAATATATACATTTAATAAAAAAGATCAGTCGAAAAGTTTACATGAGTGATTAAAAGGAACATTACTAAAATGAAGTTTCAACTTGGAGCCAACTCTATTTTCTATAAAACTAGAAGGAAATAATTTAATAAAAATATTTTTTAACTCAAAAATAAAAGATAGAAATTGAAGTATATGGAGCATCATTAGGTTTCTAAATGTAGAGTGATCACTTGTAGCATATGCTTTAAAAAAACATAAAATAAGTGACTGGTCTAATAGTTTTTGATGACGGGCATAATTTATACAATCCTCGTATATATATAATTTTCTAAACATTTCTTCATTATATAACCACATATACAAGAAAATTTGTTTTTCTCAGGTAAATTTAAATTTCTATAATCAACTGTATCGATAATGATTGATTTAAATTTAAAAGGACTTTTTTCTGGTGCTAGCGGATTAAGGAATTCACCACAACCTATTTCAGAACATAAAATTTGGTCCAAATCCTGAATACAATTAGCATAAGGTGAGGTTTGAAAATAATTTAAGCAAAATATTTTTTTAAAAGTCCAACACAGTTGAATGGGAGTCTATTGTACGACATATTAGACATTGTTTATAGTGTTTATACAAAAAGAATCAAGTAGTAACAAAATATATTGAAAAATAACAACTACAACAAGTTTTCACAAAAATCGTAAAAATTAGTATAAAATCACAGGGTAACAACGATAAAAAAAATCTGTAAACAAAATACGTCTTCAGTCGACCAGTGATGTTTACCAACAAACTTAAAGCCGTTGATTTTTTTAGTTGGTTTACAAAACAAAACATTACATTTTATGGTTCGTTGTTAAACATCTTGATAATATATAATTGACAGTGTATCTAAATAATACAGATATAATATAAACATGTTTTCTTTCTATCTAGCTAACCTGTCGAGCCCTTTCAAAATTTCGGACAAAAATTTGGGCGGCCAAGAGTTTCCATTTTGCTTTAATCTATTCTGTAGTATTATTATGTATAAGATATTAATTTATAATACTCCATTGGCTGTCACCCGTGTGTTATATTTTTCACCAATAATATACAATCGAATAACCTAAAATAGTTTTATTTTGTACTTTTGAAGTCTTGCAAGGCGTCGTCATATTTGTCCCACATTTAAAATATTGTTCTCATATTTAGTTAAATTATGTCTGAGTATAAATTTAATTTTACATTTATTTTATATTTAAAACTTTATTTTACATTTTAATCATTTCACATAGATGTATCCCCACTTTATTTCATTTTAGCTTCACTTTCGTATTATGTTTTTTCATTTTTGTGATACTTTAAAAATAATTGTAGTTTGTACGAAATGTTTTATATCATATATAATAAAACAATGGATTTAAATATGTACTACCTACATCAGTAGCTTGTCACTACAGCCTAAAACACTATTA